CAGGGATCCCCAGTTCTTTCTCTGCAGGGTATTTCTTGTGCCAGCTGCCTTCCAGTTGCAGCTTGAGCCACAATCAAAACCCGGTAGATGAAGGTTAGTAAGGGGCAGTCCCAGCCCGAAATAGTTGCGGCCGCCTTCTTTCTTCTTTACATGGTTCTGGGTAGACCATTTTAATACCGGGTTTTGATTGTGACTCGCTTGAGGTCCTGAAAGGGTGCTGTAAATCAGCTTCATTTTGGTCACGGCATGTTGGTTCGCTTCACCTGCAATTGCTCCAGCCAGTTTTTAAGTACCTCCTACTTAGCCGCTCAGGCTATGTGATATCACAAGGCCTGTTCTCACGCCAAGGGGGGGGGGTTTGGAGCGAGCGAACCCAAGCCAAAATTTTGACATCGAGCGCTTTGCCGGGCGCCAGGTGAAGCATCCAGGCCGTTGTGTCGAGTCCAAGACGTATGCATCGCAATCGGATTGGTTGGATGCATAACTAGGATGCCTCTGCATGAACACCGCAAAGTGATTGGTTGCCATTGGTTCAACGGCTGCGCGTCATTGCCAAAAAAGCTTCGCAATCAAATCATATTTCCTGCACATTGCGGTGTAGTTTTCTTTGCTTGGGTCCAGTCCTGCAAAGCCATGACAGCCCCATATGTGGTCAAAAGGCAGACCTTCCTCATGACGGATCCTGGCTTGTGTATGGCTATAGAAGGGAGTGATCACGTGGCTTTCACCCACTCAGAGGTTTCGGTGCACACACACACACACATGCTGTAGTGCAGGTGAAGCTTGGGCAATCTTGCGCGCTTTGTTCCAAACCGTACGTGTTTGGGTGCTTAGTGCTTACTCGTGTTGCTGGCTTGCACCTGCGCATGTAGGCTCGAAGAAGTTGTCCAACCCCGCACCCCAGTCTCCGGGTCAAAGGGGCCTTTCTTAGTCTGAATGAGGATTCTTCTAGCGCGGTCTTGTTGCGCTACAAGCTCATTGCGCACGCTTGTCGCGCAATCGCTGTATATGGGGGCCGTCCGCAAACGCATGTCCTCAATTTATGTATCCGGGTAACTTGTTAGTTGTTTGTGATTGGTAAACCTGCATCGCGGAAGGCCGGCGATTGGGCCGCGATGGTAGTAACATCTGCATGTTTGGGGCACCCCGCGTAATATGTTGTCATATCAATGGTTGGTTATGCGGATTAGCATCTTTTTGGCATGGTTATGTGCAGCACCTTGTCAACATGTCAGCCTGCAGTGGCTGCGGTAGACACCTTGTCTCAGCCCCTCGAGCAGGCACTTTCATGGCTCAGTTGATCAACCAGGGCCATACCAGTTTCGCAAGGAAAGTCGGCGAGATCCGAGATTGCCCCGCCATTGGCTTGCGATTGTACAGTGATTCCTTTCCGTGACCCTTTCGCTACTAGTGTTTCCGCAGCTTTCTCAAACCGCACCCTGCAAGATTGGCAGCAACGCTTGGGTGCTGCTGCTGCTACTGCTGTTGCTGCTGGCTGCTGCTGGCTGCTGCTGGCTGCTGCTGGCTGCTGCTGCTGCTGCTGCTGCTGGTGTTTCTGTAGGTAGTGCTGTTGACGGCGGCAGTGGTGGAGAAGTTACCAAGTTTGCGCCGCGCTGTGGTCGCGATTGGAGGGTTTTCGTGGAAAGCAACGTTAAATAACCCCAATATATTGCTGCTTCAGAGAGACGCCTAGGTTTTCTGGGAAAACAGATTGGCTAGAGAACAGCAGGGCCACAAGGTTAAATTCCAGACTTTGCAGGGCCTGTGTCGTTCCATGAGGCTTTGCAAGGGTAAGAAGGCTCCAAATAGACCAGACATCATGCCGAACCTGGAAGCAAACCGTTTGTCAGATACCATCCGAAAGTGGAAGGAGCACCAACATCTGGAACTCAAGACCTCAGGCGGTTTGCTTGATGTTCAAAACGTTAATCCGCTGGCCAACGCTGCCCATATTCAAGCAGCGCGCAAAATCAAATCTGCGATTCTGTTATATGCATGTATGAATTACGCAGTTTGCGTCATATAACTTGCGATTTAGCTTGAAGCCCCATTAAATGTTGAAGCCCCATTAAATTCGTGGCAGCCTTTCTCCATATTCGCGAGAGGTCAGAGAGTACCACAAGCACTGAGACACGAAATTCGGAGAAGCAGGCGCCCGTTTGTCGATGATGCCGCCCGTTTGTCAGGCTCGTGTGTGTGTGTGTGTGTGTGTGTGTGTGTGTGTGTGTGTGTGTGTGTGTGTGTGTGTGTGTGTGTGTGTGTGTGTGTGTTTGTGGTTGTTGTTCTTCTTGTTATTGCGGTTGCTGTTTTTTTCTTTGTCTTCTTCTTGTGTTTGTGCCTGTTCTTGTTCTTGTTCTTGTTTGTGGTGGTGTTCGTGGTGGGGTGGGGTTGCTCTTGTTGGCATTGTGGCTTCTGTTGGTTTCGTCGTCGTCGCTATTCTTGTTGCTGCTGCTCCTGCTGCTGCTGGTTGAGGTGCTAAGCCTTGAGCGAAGTCAACCGGCCAACGGGAGGGCAGAAGACGACGCACGCAGTCATGATATTTGGGCATTGCCGTGCCATTCCAGGCCTTGGTAGCATACTGTGCCGCTGTTCGAATCGGGCCCTTCTGCCTCTCAACCAAGTTGCATTTCGAAGGTTCTCAGCAATTTGGCTTTGAGGGTGGTGTCCATTTAATTAATACCTATTCATGGGGTGTCACTTCAGCGAGCCCAGTCCAACCGATGAAGGACAACAGGTCCAGCGACTTCGAGCCGACCGTGCAGGGCCTTGTGCCGCCGCAGGCCATGGTCGTGCTCGGGGGGCTAAAGCATATGCGAGCAGAAGGTTGGACAGATGGTTTGGGTGGCTTTCAATTGACACGGATCATCCGCTGCTCCCTGCACGGAATTCATGAGGGCACTCCTGGTCGCTTCAGGTGTGCCCAGATGCTGTAGACAACTTGCTGTTGCGATAGGCAGAGAATGAGTGAGAATGACCCTTATAAACCATCCAACTGGTGGCTTCCTTTAAGGGAATCCCGTTCATTCCCTTTTTCCCTACTTATCGCACGAGCAAGAAAAGTGCAAAGCCACGGCTTTCCGTGATAGACAAACATGGAAGGCCGTTGGACTTGTGCCTTTGCAAAGCCTCGCAGGTGAAGCCTCGCGGGAATCGCGTCAGATTGATAGTACCTATGGCAAAGACCTAACCTTAAAACCGATCCGCCTAAATGAGCCTAGGCGCCCTTTCCGGCGCGGGGACACGCATTAATCTGGGTGAATTATAACGACCTCACACGACCTCACCCCAAATGGTGGAAATTGGTGGAATATGTGGGGAATATCCCTCCAACCACCTTATTTCAGGCTGGTGAAATATTATAATTCACCCAGATTAATCGACACAACCCTGGAAGGTTTGGACAAGAATGTTATAGAAGGATATGGGGTATGGAAAGGAATTGAATGACCTCTGGTGCACTTATGTCATAAAGTCATCCAAATATCTCAGTGGTTTTCCCTTGTAGTGGCAAATGGATCAATTTTGGGATCATCCAAATGTGAGACAGCAAGATGCCCGTTTCGCAAAAATGCGCCAAATGACCGCAGGAGTACCTCGCGCGCATGGAGGGCGACTTCTCACCGCAAGAGGTGCAGCGCATGCGCCAGGTGCGGACAAGGGCAGGGGCTTCCGGAAAATTATAGCATAGCAAGTTGCCATGATTTGCAGAGTTTCGTCTCTCCCAAGTGGTGCAGGACTTCGTTCACTCACAGCAGCCCAAAAAAGCCATTTGGCCATAGGGCATAACCTATGGCTCCATTTTGGGGTGGATGAACATCCATTTGCCACCTATTGTGATGTTCACCAGGGGTACAGAGTTTGACCCACAGCCATTTGAGCTGCCATGTTCCAAGCCACCCAGCTGGACAGCCGTGAAAAGTGTGGGGCAGCCAGCGCGCCCTTGTCTTCCAGGAATGCTTCGGAATGAAACGAATTCAGAAGGATTTGGAATGAAACAGCATGTTTCTGATCAAAGGGAATTGTCCTGAATGTTTTGGAATGCAGCTGCTTGTATGATGAGCCCTTTGACCAGTAGCCCTGCGGAGAGGATTTGTCTACAGCAGCTGCTGAAAAGGCAGCTTTCGCGCTTCTGCCAAGTGCCAGCTTTCAGTTCGCTCTCTCAAGTTGCTTGCCAACCTGAAGGGGGTAACGGAGAATGGCGCCATATTGGCAAGGTGCTATGGTTCCAAATCTCGTGCTGCGGTGTTTGCACTGGTTGCATCCATAAGATCAATGCAGTTGCAGGGACAGCCAAGCGATCCAGCCAGCCTTCCCTCAGGCCTTTGACTTCCACAAGCTCTCGGACTCCTCCGAGGTGAGTTGCGATGCCCGCCTCTTAGCGGGAGCATCGCGTGTGCCGTATCATGGCCCGATTGGGTTGAAGCGAACTCCGGATTGATTGGTGTTTAGGGCTTACCTGCGATTGCACTGGAGGACTCTGATGTCTCTGACAGTTTCAAGCCTTTGCCCAGTCCGTGACCTCACATCCAGGGGCAAGGCCTCATGGATTTGCACGAGCTGCTTGCTGATTTGCTGGCGCGTTCTTTGCCGCAGCTGGAAGGCAGCGCCGGACATTCGAAGGCGGTGCTTTCCAGCCTGGCGTAGCGTTCCCCAGAAACCACATGCACAGCAGACTCATTGGTCATACCCACGCAGCCACACACACACATACACAAACAGACACAACCACAAACCAACGAATAGACAAACAAACGATCCAGACAAGCAAAAGCCGAGACCGACTGACGGACGGACGGACGGACGGACAAACGGACGAACCAACGAACCAACAAAAACATAAAGAGACCCAGCCAGCAGGCCAGCGAACCAGCAAGCAGACAAACAAAGAAAAAAGAACGAGATCGAGACGGCAGGCAGACTCTCGCACCCGGCGGTTGCATTGTAGCAGGCAAAGTCTCCCCCGCTGCGCGCGGCTTGGCGTCAGTGGCGTTGCTTTCGCCATGGCGAAGCAAGAGGTCCGCAAAGCCGTGAACGTGATGCCAGAGGAGCTGTTGATTGACTAGGTCCCCCAGCTAGGTCCCAGCTAGGTGCCCTTTTACCGTTTCTTTTTTGGAGGAGGGTTCCCCTACTAAAATAGACTACAGAAAAAAAGGGTACCCTTATTCTAACCTCTCTACTGGAGGACCTTGAAATTCTGCGTCTGAAAGGTAGTGCGGCTTTTGACTCTTTAGGAAATGCAGGGCCCCTTGAAGAACTGCCATGCGTTGCGTCAGGGAAATTTGGTACGCGCGGGGTTATCTTTTTTTTGAGGGTACCCCTTTTTTGGCTTAAAGGGAAGTCAAAAGGAAACCAACTGTTTTGGGGGATCCCCTCAAAAGACACACCCATTCATGTAGGCATTGTAAGTTTCAGCCTGTTTGTTGACTGGTAGTTACTATGAGCACGCTGGAACACCCTAGTGAACAGGCCGGACCGGCTGCTCGCTTTCTTTGCCGAGTGCCACCCAGGAGCTCTACGAAGTAAGTGTCAGCGAAGCGCCAAAGTTTGTTGCCTTCAAGGCGGTCCGTGGCAGTGATGGGCTTGGTCCCAATCGGCGAGCCAAGGCAAAACACGGTATACCTCATATCTCCAATATGTAGGAGGTGTACAGTGATGCTGCACTGTTTATTCAAATCTGTGATGGATCATGTTCGGTGTCTCTGGAAAGCAAGCGGATGAAATTGGTGACGCTTCTCTTCTTTGCCTGGTCTGCACAATCGTTGTCACTCATTTTGATTTTGTTGTGTACTGTCATGTTGCTGGCGAGCTTCACCCGAGGCGCGAGTAGCAGTATTGGCGCAACAGGCGCAGTTGTTGGGCCCAAGTCAAGCAAGGCCTTGGCGATAGCTCAATTTGGGACCCACGTGCACCAGCAACCCCCCCAATCCGCCCAATGACCCAATGACATCCAGAGGATGTTGGGTACGCCGAGGAACACATGTCTGAATGCAGTTTTGGCCGTACTTACCTTCCAGGTCAGCGTTGCTTTCAGGGATACCTTGAAAGTAAGGAGAATTCTGAAAGACTGTTCCAGAAAGAGGCCTTACTACGATTGCCACCAGAACGCATGTCAAGTCCCTTAGGGCTCCTGGGTCCGGATTCGATCATTCGAGATTCGGAACCACGCACTCCACAGGATTTCTTTCTTTTATGTTTGTGAAGCAGTGCGAAGGGATTCCCCAGGTAGTTCCCCGGGAGTACTCGGCTTACTCACTGAGACTACTTACATATCCCTCGAATTGTCACTGTAGTTGTTTAGGCTGCTTACCTGGCTTATCATTATTTGAGGCTTGCGAGCCATCAACCAACTGTAAAGGGATTGTGGGTCCCCCAGTAGTGCCCTGTTACCCGGTACCCTTTTTTGGGGGAGGGTTCCCCTACTAAAATACACTACAGACAAACGGGTACCCGTATTCTAACCTCTCTACTGGAGGACCTATAGTTGAAATTCCGCGTCTGAAAGGCAGTGGTGGCTTTTGACTCTTTAGGAAATGCAGGGACCCCTTGAAGAACTGCCATAGATTGCGTTATGGAAATGTTGTGCATATTTTTGGGGGATCCCCTAAAACAGACACCGGCGATCCCCGTTTGTGCATCCAAGCGACTGGAGGTTGAGGCAGACTTGGACTGGGCGAAGACGCTGGCCGGGGCGAAGATCACCTTTGGCGACATGGCAAGTTAGAGCCACCTGCAAAAGCCTTAGGGTTTTCTTCGCCCCAAACACAGCCCCTTTGGGCAGACCAGGCTAAACTAGACCAAAACTTGTTTGTGTGTTTATTGTGTTGTTTGTTTCCTTCCCTCCTTCCCTCCTTCCCTGCTTCCCTCCTTCCCTCCTTCCCTCCTTCCGTCCTTCCCTCCTTCCCTCCTTCCCTCCTTCCCTCCTTCCCTCCTTCCCTCCTTCCCTCCTTCCCTCCTTCCCTCCTTCCCTCCTTCCCTCCTTCCCTCCTTCCCTCCTTCCTCCTTCCCTCCTTCCCTCCTTCCCTCCTTCCCTCCTTCCCTCCTTCCCTCCTTCCCTCCTTCCCTCCTTCCCTCCTTCCCTCCTTCCCTCCTTCCCTCCTTCCTTCCTTCCTTCCTTCCTTCCTTCCTTCCTTCCTTCCTTCCTTCCTTCCTTCCTTCCTTCCTTCCTTCCTTCCTTCCTTCCTTTTGTTCCTTGCTTGCTTGTTTCCTTGTTTCTTTGTTTGTTTGTTTGGTTGGTTGGTTGGTTGGTTGGTTGGTTGATTGTTTGTTTGTTGTGTGTTTGCGTTGGTCTTTGTTTGGGGGGGGTGGCAGGAGCAGAGATGCAAGAGCAGGATTATGATTGTGTGAGCACCCTTAGGCATGATTGATACATGATTGATGGACACAAACCCCAATACAATCATGTGAATTAAAGGCTCCCCAACTAAAAAGGAACTACCCATCGGGTGGCCCCCCCCCCCGGCCACATGTTGAACTGAAAATGAACCTTCAGCGCACGTGCCCTGACATGGGGTCAGCCAGGTCGCTCGTGGTAAGGCGGTGCCGGATGTCTTCCATCAACATGTTGTTGCTTTTCCGAGCACCATGCTTTCGTCTTAGCATAACTCGTATCAAAGCCAACCTGGCAAACAAGCTAGCAGAATGACTGTAGACCAGGCTTCGTTTTGACTGGCTGGTGCTCTAGGCAGGGAATGTGAAATGGAATGACCCCGAGAAAACCATTCCACTGGTTCCCCTTATTTCGTGAATTCCACAACGGTTCGTTCCAACTCATGGCCACTGTCAATCTGGCAGGTGCCTGTTGCGTTGCCTCAGGAAGTGGGACCTTTTGGATGCAACGGCAGAGTGAGAGAGAGATCGCACCGATCGCAAGTTGGCCGCGGGTCAAAAATGGGTACCCAAAATGGATCCCTGGTAAATGGAACCAAGGACCAAAACCTGTGGTCCCCTGGTGGTTTAAGTTTGATCCACGCCCAGTTGAGTTTTCCAGGTCACCCGTTTAGGAGTCAAGCGAGGCAGTCAGGGTGCAGAGCTGCAGTCCGGGGAGATGCTGCTACGGAGGCCTGACAAGGAGTGGAGCTCGGAGCCCCAGCAATCCCCATGGATTTTTGGGGCGCGGTAACCCATTTTGTGCGAGACAAAAGGAATCAGGGGGAAAGATCCGCTCAATTTCCATAAGGGGGATACTAGTTGGTAACGTCTTCTTTGGACTTGAACGTTTTGGTTGAAACAGGTGGGATTTTCCGAATTGGAGCCTCAAAAAGGTGATGGTTTGCAGAGGGGTGAACAGCAACCAAAAGGAGATCTCCATTGTTGCGTCCATTTTCCAATTTTCCATGCGAAGACCAGACAAATGGAATCAGGCCGCTCCCCCCCCCCCCCCAATTCCTTAGCGAAGACACATAATTGAACAAGTTTGAGCGGGTCCCTACTTTTCAGTGCGTGCGCCTGGCACCACAAAGCCTCGTTGCCGCCGTTCTCGGCAGGGAAGTGACCCTTTTTGATCTTCATGTGTAAGGGCCAACGGCTAATTAGACTTTAGGGGCCTGTGAGGAAAAGAGCACATCGGGTCATTGGCCTTCCACTTGCTAGAATTTGGCGCCTCATTGGATTTAACACGATCTGGCAAAGATTGCGTATTTGATTTTGAGCTGGCTGTGAAACCATTGTTGAATTGTCGTGCGTAATATGTATGTTTTTCGTTTGGATTTGGGAACAGAACGTCACTTCACCTGACTGCGGCAGTCATTTCATTCAGGTTTAGGATCATTCACGTGCGGCTGATTTCGTGTTCTTGCCAGACAAAGAGATAATGCAGTATATACACATTCAAGCACTTCAGAACAGGCCTGGCTTTGAGAAAATACCTGTTAGGGAAAGCTGTATGCATGGTTCTTGGCCACAATCTGATTTGGCCGACTGTTTGGCTCCAACATGGTGTCGTGCTGTTTTGAGATAACAGCCCCTTAATGGTCACCATTGCAGACAACCTTATTGAGAACCCTATTCCTGGGGTGCCAACATCAGGCAACTTCCCACTGATCAGCCTGGTTCTCTTGCCAAACCGCTGAGGCCAATACCTTTGCTTGGCGCCAGCGAGTCAAGGCGACCCCAAGTTGGTGGTGGCGGGCCTTGCCCATCCCGTGTTTCAACTCTGCAAGCCCAGCCGCTTGACTCATCCGCAGGGAGGTCCAATGAAGCCCACGCCACAGGGTTCACTTGACACGAGACAAGTGCATATATCGAGGGCGTCCGGTGGTCCTTTGTCAAGCTGATGCCATTTCGATTTGCCCTTCTGGGCCCCAAAATGCTGGCTTTCAGACCTTCATGCCAGCACGCTCAATGCCTGTTCCCCTGGCTTTTGGGATACTTGGCTGGCGCCCAAGCGCGGTTGTTGAATGCCTTTGGGTTGCGTGAATGACTTGGATTCGGCGAGGTCCACTAACGTGACGGCGAGCTGCTGGCAAGGGCTGGCCAAAGTGAATCCCTTTCCGTCCAAAGCTTCTGGAGTCCAAAGGAACTTTGGCCCATGCAAGCCTGAGAAAACTTTTTGCAACTTTCACAACGCACTCCGCACTTGTCGCGCTTTTCCACGTGCCTGGGAGTCAAAGGCTCCATGCAGAGCGCTCTCCGGGAGACCTTCCGAGGCAAGAAGCTGCAAAACGCGGAGAAGTGGGCGGAGCAGACCGGGGAGGCGCTGCAAATCATCCAGGAGGCGGAGGATGCGCTGAAGAAAGGCGCGCGGTGTCAAAAAACGGGTGGCTCAAGGGGGGGGGGGGGGTTGTCATCTGTGAGCACCTTCCAGTGAATCCTATGTGCACATATGCACATAGAGATAATTTTTGGTTTGGTCCTGATGAATTCGATATGCCTGGGTTTGCTGGAAAACGCCGAAAGGCGTCTTTGCCCATGGCCGCAAGGGGATTTGGGGGCTCACTCTACCTCCTACTTGGCGGTGATTAGTCCGAGACATAAGGGATTGACACCAGCAACCAGCTAATTACCCTCACTAACATGCCCCTGACAGGGGTCAGGTACGTGAGAGCTTTTGTGGACGTTGGTTTGTCGGGCTCAGCGAGCAGGCCCCAAAGCTGGCGACTGGTCAACCAAGTCAACCACTCCTAAGTCGCATGGGTCCTCAGAAGGTTCCATTTCAGTCCCAGCCCAAGAGTTTTCGTGTGGTCTCATGGTTATGGCAAATAGGGCTTAGTTAGTAATAGGAATGACGTGTGCAAGGCTTGATTCGAAGAGGCTTCCTGTATCCCATTTGCTCAGTTGCACCCCTTTTCCTTTTTTTGGCGGGTAGACTTCATGCAGGGTAGGCTTGCTGTGGAAGGAGTCGGAAAACAGTACGTATTAGTGCGTGAGAAAAGGAATCATATGGTGGCCAACTGTTTTCTGAGTGCTGCATCCCTTTTCGGGGTTGGCTGGAAGGGAAGCCCAGGGAGACGCGGGAGGGCTTCCCTACGTACTCGAGATCCAGAGGTTCACACCTCCAAACTACACCTGACGGTGTTGACCCCAGAATCAACCCGAACAGGGGACGCCCCCTTGTTAATCAACCAGGGGTTCGCACTTCGGGGTCAAGAAAGTTCATGCCTCACAGGAACTTGGTCTTGAAGGCGGCTTCCCATAACCGCATTTGGCTGTGGGTCGAAATGGGGACCCCCAAAGAATTACCAGGTTTGCTCTTGGTCTTCCCGAGCCAACCTGAAGGGTACCCTCAAACAGACACCCATTGTTCTACTTTGCACGTTTCCCCGAACCCGCAAGTCCAAAACCAACAAATGATTTGTAGAGGAAGTTTCTTTTGGGACCGCCAAAACCCTTGACCGCCAAAACCCTTCATCAGGGCTCCCAATATTTCCCCTTAAAACATCACCACCAAGGGACACATTTGGCCCAAAAGGGCGATGTTTCCCGTCTTGGTTCCCCAAAACAGGGAAGCTTCTTTTCAGACCCCAAGAAACGCCACTAAACCCAAACAACCTACAAATTAAGATATTCTAGTAGGTTCAATGGACACCCAACCACTAATCTAGGGGTTGGTTCCCCATTCTTTTCAACCATCGTTCTCTTCAAAAACCAGCTATTTTCCCTGGATTTCAATCGGGGTGTTCTAGAAAGATTCGGATCCCTGGAGAGAAGGGAAATGGAAGGTACACCTAGAACTAAACCCTGAACACCTCACTAAAAAATGGCTGCCACTAAAAATGGTCTTCCCCAAAAAGGGTTCCCTTTTTTCCAGGGTCACTGAACAACTGAGCAATCCCCAAAATCGCCACTAAACCCAAACAACAACCTACGACCTAAGATTTCAGTGAGTTTAATGGACACTCAAACACTAAACCTCTAGTGCTACCTTCCCCATTCTTTCCAGGGCTCCGAATCTTTCTAGAAAACCGCCGGAAACCCAGGGAAACGGCCAGTTTTTGAAAAGAGCGATGGTTGCAAAGAGCGAAGGTACCCCTATTCCCTGTCACCCCTGTATTTTAGTGGGTAATGGACACCCAACCACTAAACCATACTAAACCCATCTAAACCTCACGGGATTCCCTGTCACCCCTCCAGTCGACGCCAGGCCGGCGTGCGGAGGAAGCGCAGCAGCGCCAGGTGCGGCGCGGGCGCTTGGGCCTGCCGGAGCTGCGGGAGGCGCTGGGCAACGTGGGCTGGGACTTGCGCCTCGGCCCGCTGGGTGCTGGGTGCTGGGTCGATGGGTGCTGGGTGCTGGTGGGTCCAGAAAAATGGGGCTGATGAAGAAAAGGTGCTGGCCGTAAGAAAGGTGACAAAGGGGAACCCTCGTGTTTTTTTGGTTTTTGTTTGTTTTCCTCGTTTTCAGTGGTTTTATGTTTTCCTCTTTTTTCTTTTCTTTTTTTGGTGGTTGGGGGGGAAGGGATTGCAGTTGTTGTTTGGTTTAGGGGGGTTGTGTTGTTTGGCTGCTATTGTTTAGTGCTTTTTGCAGTTTTGGGGGTGGCAGTTTTTGGGGTGGCAGTTTTGGGGTTTGGATGTCCACCAACTGCGTCGCAGTCACGGACGCCTCAAGCATTGCCAAACTTGACACCAAGGGATTGCAGTCAAAGCACAGTGGGGGTGCAGATTTGATGCGCTTCCCCCTGATTTGGTTGCAGTTCTGTCTGCACGTAGTTTCAACCAACTGTTCACGAGGCAAGCAGCGATCGGGTTGACCTTTGAAACTGCACGGAGCTAAGGTCAGGGTTCTGAAGATCGCCACTTCTTCAGATTCAGGTGGCTATAGCCCCTCCATCCAGGCGACATATCTCAGCCCCCCTACAAACACACTGGGGTTGATTAATATGGGGTCGACATTAACATGCATCACAGCTACGAAAGCGCACACCTGAGCCTCAAACCCCAGTGCGAGTGAGGACGGCTGAGATGGAACCGGTCTACGAGCAGGAGCAATGATCGCTCTTTCTATCCTGGCTCTGCATACTTGAGCAGCTTCTTTTTTTGTTTTTTTGGGGGGGGGGGGGGCGGGGGCACCAGTTGCAGAAGCCCGCTCGGCTGCTCCAAAGTGATTTATTTGCTGAAGTCAGCAGCTGTACTGAACACGCCTGCACGCTCCATGCTTGTCCAGGGTCCATTAAAGTGAGCCGTGGAAGGGTCAAATTACGTTTGGTCGGTGTATCCTTGTGAACCACCATTTAGAAGCCGCGTGTTTAGGAATTTCAGATGGATTGGTAGCGGGTGACGTGCAGCCTTCTTTGAATGCGGTGGGCAGAAGGGTTTTTCGTGAACAATCTACTCTTGGACTTTAGTTGGCTTCGCAGCGCGATGCCCCCTCTCGGCTTAGAGCGTCACCGTTTGGGTTATTTTTAAGTAGGTTTGTCTTAGGTGGGGTGCGAAACCCGAGCCAGGACGCATGGAATGGCGCTGGAAAGGCCAGGTGCTACACATCATTCGGATCGTTTTCACGGGTGCCCTTTGAAATTTTCCCAGTGAACGCCAAAGGGTCCCCAAGTCCCCGCGTCTAAATCTGAGACCCCATCTCTTCAACTACGTCATGGTGGGTTGACGACTGGATCGCCGAGCTAAGCGGGTTTGGTCCAGGCGCCCAAGCGCAAGAAGGCCCAGAAGCGGGGCGTCGAGCTGCAAGGCACCTTCAAGATCCAGGCGGCCCAGTGAGTTGGTCAGGGCAAATTCACGTCTCAGATGTTCTGAAGTCGCAGGTGAGAGGTTGATCATGAGAGATTCTGCATCCGTGCCGGTTGAAACACGCACCACATTTCTAAGACCATGATTTTGACGGTACCTAGAAACTATCAAAGTCAGAAACTGGAATTCGTTGTTTCCCCTGAAGCTATCACTTAGGGAGTCCGGTTGCAGGGGCGTTCCCTTTGTCTTGGTTTCCTTTCCTGTGCGAATCTGGCAGGTAGTGCAAGCCACCGCGACCCAATGCACACCAGTGGGTTTCTGGAGCCTTGGCGACTTGCAGATGGAGGACCTGCGCCTTGGGTGCAGAAAGCTTGCGCCGCGTGCGGCTTGTCACGCGTCATGCCGAGTCATGCCAAGCCGCGCTGCGTGACCATTTTGTTCTTTCCTCTTTGTCGTCGCGAAAAATCAGGCTTCGAACCAGTGTCTTGGCAACAGATGAGTGTAGTCCTTTGGATTTCGGTTTAGTGCTTGTCTGCTCTGCTGAGTCGAAGCTTGAAACAGGTTGGTGGGTTGGCTGGTTGGCTCCAAGACACGAAGTAGGGCCAGCGCAAGGGTGGCATTGAGGGCAGTCTCGCCCCTCGCCGCCAAGCCCCACGAGCGGTAAGCCAGGGAACCGCCCGCAGCCAGAACCCAATGCCCCCTCGAGCAGCCTGCGAATTACGCCGACTCCCACACACCATGCCCCCTCCAAAAAGGTCGAGCCTTTCTCAATAGAGCGTCCCTGCAAAGACAAGCATCTTGGGAAGGGTGGGTCACGGGGGATCCGCAAGACAGAGAGGTTGCTGCAGAAAGGTGGACGATGCTGTTGGAGGCAAGTGCACCTGCAAACAGCGCGGAAAACAACAACATATTGCACCACTTGCAGACGATGCACTGTCCAGAAGGTTTGCAACTGTGTCTGAGCGTAATGAATCCACACCTCAAGAACATCAAGTCCCTTTGCATTGCTCCCATACTTTGCTGACATGGAGGCATGGCAAACGCCGCAAAGGCTTGAGGGAGGGGAGGAGGAGGGAGCCCAAATAAGCCCTAAATAAGGCCTCATTAAGGGCTTAATAAGGGCTTATTTGGGCTCCCTCCCCCTTCCCGCCCCCCCCTAGCCCCCACGATTCCCCTCCCTTTCCAGGGGCAGAGCGGCTGAGGCAGGATGTCACCTTCCGGCGCTATGAGACGCGCAAGCTGGGCCATCAGGCCTTCGAGCTCCTGGGCAAGGCCAAAAGCTGCGAGCTCCGCCTCTTTGGCAAGGAGCCATCGATCGCCAGCGATGCGAGCCAACTATTTGTATGAAATCCGAGGGTTCCCTTTCTAGGTCCCCCAGCTAGGTGCCCTTTCTCACTCCTTTTTTTGGGGGGGTTCCCCTCTTAAAATAGACCACATACAAAAGGGTACCCTTATTCTAACCTCTCTACTGGAGGACTCAGCTTTGGCTTGCTTTGGCTCAGGGCCACATGTCCTCGCGCCTCGGGGCCCGTGCCTGGAGAGAGCAAGGCCCAAAACGAAGTGACCCCAGACCGCTTGGAGACTAACACCATACGTTTTACATTTTACCAGTGACTCAAAGTGAAGCAAACAATAAGATATACATTCTATATCTGGGCCTAACTCTATGACCAGTTGTCCCTTGTCCCTTTGCGGAATCAGCAACAAGCAAGTCCTTGTTTCGAAGGAACCGGCTGAACAAGCCAGAAACCGTTGGTAGGAAGAAAAGGGTTTCTGAAAATGGTGGTCCTTTCAAGTGGTTCCTTTGAGCGCTCCTTTCGATACCCAAGGGGCCCCGCCATTGTGAGAAACCCGCAGGTGCCTTGAGATAATGACAGGCTCCCGGCGGGGGAAGCCTTCCACACCCAGCCCGCGGCTTTGGAAAAACCTGAGAGAGGGCAAGATAGAAAGAAAGAGAGACAGGAAGAAAGAAAGGAACGTAGAAAGAAAACCAACAAATACGCACTGAAATAAACAAAGACAGTTCAATGAAGGAAGCAAAAGGAAGGACTGAATAAAGAAAGATCGCACAACAGAAGTCAAAAACACAAAGAGCACCTTACAGCAAGGTAAACAACAGATGAGCAACAGAAATGCCAATGAAGAGAAGAAAAGGCAAGGAAGAAAGGAAAGTCCCGCACTAAGGACGCAAAGAAAGAAACAGCACGGCACAGATATAAGTATGACATTTCGAGACACAATCACACAATCAAGTGAATAAGTAAGACATTCCTGAAGAAGTACAACATAAAATCACAAAAGGAAGGTAATGACTTAAAGTAAGCAAAGGCAATGACATCAAATACATACTCAACATACAGCACGACACAACAAACCACCGACATTGACCAAACTGAATGACAGAAGGGCACAAGTGACAAGGGAATGCATGAATTCGGAAGTCAGGAAATACGGCGAAAGGACATAAGACAATGATTACGAAGGGACATATCAAGCGACATAGCTAACAAACTACATTTCAATCAGAACAAAGAAAGGAATGCGCGCACGAACACAAGAAGGTGAAGGGAGGGATAGAGAGAAATGGAGCGAGATTGGACGCCCATCAGTCCAAGCCACCTGGATTCAATTTCATAGTTGAAGCTGCTGACGCTGAATGCGCATGGGAGGAACACCTTACTGTAAGGCGTGGCGATTGTGAAGATGCTTGCTTTAACCTGCTGCTTGAAGGATTATTGGTTGAACAAATACGGGTCTTGGGGATGTTGCCTTGTAGGAGTCCGGCCGGCAACATAAACTAAATACAACATGTAGATATCTTTGGTAATTACCCCCTTTTTGGTGCTTTTAAACGGACACCAATAGGAAAAACAAACACCACATGTTTTTTTTTCAAGTTTGGGGCGGGGTCTAAACCTTAAAACCACCCGCTGTGGACTCCGCCTTCAGCCCGGCCGCTTCTCCGTCCGATTTTGGTCCCCGAAAGGAGGAGCTGGGCGAGAGCCGGCTGCTGCTGGGGGCCTTCTCCGGCTCCAAGCTGCTGCTCTCAGCCGCGGAGGTCTACCGAATCGAGGTGGAGCCCAAGGAAGCGGCGCCAAAGGCTGAGGACTGGGATGCCGGGTTTGGGTTTGGCTCCCGTTTGGCTATGGCTCAAAATGAAAGAGAGGACGGCAAGCCGCGGCCTTCTTTCTTTTTTTTGGTCTTTGGTGCCATTTGCCAAGGTGCCGTTTTGGGACCACTTTTCAGCCACAGGCATTTGGCTAAGAATTTTAAAGGGAATCTATCACTGCTGGACATATATGTTGTTATTTTTCCCATGGAGGCCAGCCAAAGTTTCAAAGCCCAGCACCGATTTTGTTTTCAGAGTTCTTTGTGCTTTCTTCATTTTTCCGTACCTTCACAAAATCAAACAACAAAGTCGGGGGGCAAAAAGGGCCTAGAGTTCACCCCCTACAGTGTGGACGTCCCTTAGGCTTAAGCTTCTCTTGAATGGACGGGTGCGGCGCAGAGAAGGCCAGTCAACAGCACGTGCTGGGGTCCTTGTTCTGCGGTTGGCTGTGGGTCAAAACCAATCACCACCCATTTTAGTCTACTTTAGTGGGGATTGGGACGTTGACTGGGGGTACGGGATTTAGAACCATGGCCAACTTGATCCAATTTGTCTTGCTTCTTTGTGGGAAATGGGGCCATATCGATATGGCCCCTTTACCCCGGTGGCCTGTGCCCATCCAGAAGCCCAACGGCTAATCCATGCAAGGAGGAAGCGACCTTAAGCATCTATCGCCAGAAGCGCAAGGCAGCCATTGAGAGCTTTGGCACTGCCAAGAAGATGCGCTTCTTCACCCAGGCCATTGAAAGGGGTATTAATTGCAATAGGGAAACCACCTTGCAAGTGGTTGGTGGGCATGCATCCCCTTAACGTCCACCAAAGGGGTCCCTAATCAAAAACATCGTGCCCACTTTTCCGGAATCCTTCGTGAGCTTCTTGTGCATTTCAATCCGTCCAGGTAGGTCTCACTCTATGTCTTCACCTGCGGGTAGCTTGTTTCGCCAGGCCCAGGCAAGGCCTTTGCGACCCCAACTTTGGGAGGCCCAACTTTGGAGACCTTTTGAGAAAACCATGGGCTCTTCCATTACACCTACACGGTAAAGCCAAGAAATCCCTTTGCTCCCAGGCTCACTCTAAATCCCTGTCATCCTTATTCGTCAACCCCGAACATTGCCATTGTTTGATTGGTTGCTTGCTTGTTTTCATTTGCCATTCAGCCAAAAGCAGAACTTCTTGCAGGGTAACATGTTTGTTGGGTTTCTGTATGTTGCCCTTTTTGCCCAGTAGACTTGTTTCATCCTTCACATCCTTCCCAAGTCAAAGCCGGGGGGTCCCTTCTGAGACCCCCCCCCCCATTGCCGCGAAAGTGGCCCATTCATTACAACAGGGCTCCTTATATTTCCCTTTCCTGTTGGTGGTTGTTGTCAACATTCAGGTTTTGCCCGGGGATCCCTGTATTTCCCGTTTGGGTGGGGAATTTCAACATTCTGTTTTTGGCCCATGAAAGCTTGGGGTATCCCATGAAAGGTGGGGGTGCTGTTTTCACAAAAGCCAAAAGAACTCGGGACCTACTGACCAGCCTCTCGGATCGCGTGGACGTCCGCGGAGGTGAATGAGCGCCTGGAGCGGCAGTGCGAAGTCGCCAACTTGGAGAACTACTTGGGTGAGGTGAGCCAACGCCTGGAGGCGCCTCAGCGATTCGAGGTCCCCCAGTGCCCTTTCTCGCCCCTTTTTTTGGTGGGGAGGGTTCCCCAACTAAAATCGACAGAAAAAAATCGGGTACCAACTTATTCTAACCTCTCTGGAGGCATCTGCCATTGGAACCCGGAGAAATTCTTCGACGGTGTCCGGAACGAGTTGCTTTTTGTGTCCATGTTCCGGTGTGTTTTTTTGGTCAATTAAGGGTGAATGTTTGGCGGTTAACGGTTCGTTTGGCGAAGCGGTTTTCCAGCGAATCGTCTGGCCCCCGAGGTTTATATAGTTTGGTCTTTAGTTGGTTTGGTGGTTGGGTTAGCTTGTTGACCCACGAAAAAGTTTTACTTTTGGGAGGGGATCTGAGGACAGGCCAGTCAACTCTGGAGTTTCGTAGGAGGAGTTCCAGTCCTCACTCCCTGAGTTTATGGACTTTGTTTCTATTTTTTGGGAACACCATTTGAGTGACAAGCGCAAAACTGTTTTTGGCCAGTCCGCTCGCTCGGAAGTGAGTTTAGCCAGTTTTCAGGTTTCTTGGTTTCTTGGCTGTGCTAATTTTTCGTGGGGGGGGGGGGACTGCACAAAACCACGCTTTTTGCATACCATGCCAAGGGTGGTAAATTGCTGTAAGCTAGGTCCCCCGGTAGTGCCCTTTTACCGCTTCTTTTTTTGGGGAGATTCGGTTCCCCTACTAACATAGACCTCCCGAAAAAAGTGGGTACCCTTATTCCAACCTCTCTACCGGAAGGCCTAGTAAAGATCTTGGGATGACGCAGACGAGCCGACGCCTCCGCAGGAGCAGCTGAAGACGCAGAAGTCTCACGAGGCCAAGGACCAAGAGACCAAGCGCCACATCCTGCCCAGGCAGGGGCTTCGGCTTTTGTAATGCTTCCGTCCATTTCCCATTCTTTCCTTCCTGCCACTAATATGGCACCTGTGGGCGGATACCTGGAAGAAAGTTTCCGAGGGATCCTTCTAGGATCTTCTAGGGCTACCTTCCATTTCCATTCTGTCCAGGGACCCTTCTTTCCAGAAAACCTCCTTTGAAACCAATTGAAACCCAGGGAAACGCATCCGGTGTTCGAAAAGATCGATGCTTGGAAAGAATAGAAACGGACTCAACCCCCAGGTTTGCCCAAGCGAAAGCTGCAGGACCGAAAGCTTGGGATTCTTTGAGGACGCTCTTGTCGGATGTCGTAAAGGGAGGCCAAAAGGAACGACACGTTTGTTGTGGTCTGCTTTTGTAAGACGCGCTTGAGTCCCTGGAGGATATTTTGATTCCAATTTCACATAAGAAGCAGGAGGGCTGGCGTATCTGAATAAGCGGGTCGATGACCGCTTTGGTCAAGCATGCGAGTTCTGGTACTTGACCCGCAGCCACCAGGGGTGGCAAAGAACCCCGGATCAATAAAACCCTGCGTTGATTTATAGGGACTGTCCCCTTGTGGGAATCCTTCACATTTCTAGGCCCCCTATTAGCAAGACGGGTTCCAGCCAAAGCCAAAACGCGGGGGCTAAGGTTCCAAGATGCCGACGAACCCATCAACATCTATGCGGCTGCTTGTCTGGGGGGCTTGCCGCGAGGGAGTGGGTGGGCAAGATGTTTCTTCCGGTCCACATTGGTCGACTTTTCAGTTGTTCGGTCACACCCTTTTCCCTTTTTGGCTGCCCAACTAAAAACGGTCTTCCCAAAAAAGGGTTTCCCTTTTTTCCAGGGTCACTGAACAACTGAGACTTCTTTGCATACCGATCTGACTTTGATAGTTGTGTAGGAGCGCTCGGGGGTTAGGCCAACCCTGCCAACGAGTCAAAGTGGGTCTGACAGCATACATGGCTCGGCAAGGAAGGCAATGCAGTCAGTGAGATTGCATCCCAGGCTTGCTGGGTGGCTTCCACTTTGGCTTTACAAGTGAAGCTGACAATTCAGTCATAGCAACACTTAGAACTCTTCATTATGCATCAGACACTGTGAAGGCTTTTGGCATCGTGGACAGTTCCCCCAACTGCCATGTTTATGGCAATGGGGTACGTGCTGTGGCGTGTTTGTTTCGCAAATTGGCTCACAAACACGCGAGGAGGGCTTGGCTGACATCGCTTCCGACGCCAATATTGCGGCGCACCCAAAACTGCTGAATGACAGCCGCTC